GGTAGGTAGAGAGGACCCGGCCTTTGGACCCGGAAACAGTATTATCGGAGAGTGGTTACGTCACGACTTAACAACCGGATAGGCCTATGTGCAGCAGCAGGTCGATCGTTCACAAGTTAAATATAGAATAAATGTATTATGTTAAATTAAAACGTGACGTTTCATTTCACCATGCCCTGTCCTGCTGCCCACGGGGGTTTGATTGACAGGCGACCTGGCCAATCATAACGCCGAATATGCAATTTTGTCCGACAACAAAGCTGTCAGTAGATGAACGTCGGTGGACTTGAACTTGAAAACGGTATTGTTTAAATTATTTAAATTACAATATTTGAAAGTTGAGACTTTGTTTCATATCAACAGTAAGCTGCTCTGAACTCTCTCTCGTAGTCAATTGTGTAACGTTAGTCTTTGCCCCGCGATGTATTTTTCAGTGCGTGAGTGAGAACATGATGTGCGTGACTCGTGAGAGCCGCCTGGCTTGTCACACAGTAACTAAAAAAGGCAGGTCTTTGCGAACGGTCACTATAATATTAATGATAATGATTCCATGATAATGCATGGAATATTCGGCAAAGCGCTACTAAATAACAGGGCTAATTTGTGGGGGGCGTTGCGTGGTAAGGCTTTGGCAATCAGATGGCTAGTAGTACAGCCAATCAAGGGCCCCCTCCTTGCTCGGGCCCCGGGGCTTTAGCCCCGCCTAGCCCTATTGTTAATGCGGCCGTGGCTGCAGCCACCTTTACCTCATTGTCTACTTGAAGCTGGTCTAGCTTTGATTTTTCCCTCTCTAATTTTAACTTCATTTCAGCCTCCCTTTGCTTGATGTCTGCTAGCATTTGCCTTTCCTTAAGTCTCCATTCGTTCTCCAATCTGTCAAGCCTTGCTTGTTGAGCGTGTATACCTTGAATAGCTTTGGCCTGTTCCATCTTTGCTGCAAGTTCTGCCTCCGCATCTGCGCGTTTGCTGGAGGACCTGGAGATAGCGCTTGACTGATCATCATGTCCTTGTAACGATCGTAAGGTTACTGTTTCTGTATTTCTAAAGACAGATCCATAATCATTCTTATTTAGCACCATCCTCACTCTTTCCTTCTCAAGTTGGTCATTGAAAGGCTGCTCCATATCCTTTATCCTCTTACGAACAAGATCACCAACCTCGGTGGTTAACGTGTTGCAGGCATCCATCTTCTTAATCTCTGGATTGGTAGTTTGATTGCGGCGAATAGGCTCATAGTCGGACTCACAGTGGCACAGTGCTCATTCAGTAAATCCACAGCTAAACATGTTTTGAGTCTGGATTTGAATGTGAATACTGTAGGAGCACATCGGATCTCTACTGGAAGCTGGTTCCAGCTCCGGCTGCAAAGCAGACTCGCCATGCTTCGAGTGAAACCTTGGTATTTCAAGCTGATGTGATCCTAATGATCTGAGTGGTTTATATTCAGTGAGCATATCTGCAATGTATTGAGGTCCTTGCCCATTGAGTAATTTATGTACCAGTAATAATGCTTTAAAATCAATCCTAAATGTAACTAGGAGCCAGTGTAAAGACCTGAAAAGTTCTGCTCAGCGTTCTGTATGAGCTGCAACTGTCTTATGGTCTTTTTGGGAAGGCCAGAGAGGAGTCCTGGTGATGAAAGCATGCACAAGTTTCTCTAAGTCTTGACTGGAAACAAAGCATCTAATTCTAGCCTTATTTTTCAGATGATAGTATGCTGATTTAGTTATTGCTTTGACATAACTACTGACAACTCTTTGGGCTCTTCTGAGGCAATGTTGTCATGTTTGCTTGGAGAAAATAAGATTTTTTTTATAGAATAAATCCTGGCCTGGAGCAGAGTGAAGTCTCAATATTTAGCCATCTTTCTCCAGGTCACATGACCACCCCATTTCTTGAGTTTCTAGACAGATGGTGTAACCAGATTTCCTACAAACAAAATTGTAGGAAACTGTGCAGCCCATTCAAATCTGTGCAACAAGCAAGTGGTGTATTTAAAGTCCCTGTAAAGGCAATTAAAAAAAAAAAAATCTAAACCCATTATAAATGTTAGAAATGTATTGCTAAAACATATTACAAAGACTGTGAACTGTGAAGTACTGAATTGTGGAGTTAGACCGTTAAACAGTTTTTCACCATTGATATTTTACGGATTTTTTGGGCGGGGTTAAAACGGGGCTCGATGACGCACTGGAGCCCCTGAGCTCCTGGACACGCCCCTACTTGATGACGCACTGGAGCCACTGAGGCTGTCCACTCCCCTAACAATATAGAGCACATTCACATCAGTTTTGCCGCTCAATCGTGAGTTACGGTCAGTACTATTAGTTACTACAGCAGCCTACAGATTGCTAGCTAGCTATGCCTTCGTCACAGAAAAGCGTAGGCCTACTACCTGGATGCGATCACCGGATCACATACAAAACAGATCGGTGTCCTTATTTAAATTTCAGAAAAACGGTTACATCAAGAAGAAGTGGATTAATTTTGTGAAGAGCCAACCTTGATGGAGAGCTGAGGATCACTGCCAAAACCCGCCTCTGTAAGTGATCATTTTACACGGGATAGTTTTATAAACTTTCGTCGGAGACAACTGAGACATTCACTGATAAGCCGTTGTTACTGGTGAATGGGGCCAAACCGACTATCTTCTGCCTCGGCATTCATCCTCCCGTCGTGCCGACAACTGGTGCCATCATCGGCAGTGCGTGCCCACCGTGCGAGCATCTATTCCGGCTGTGGAGTTGAGTGTGGCGACGGCAGCTTTCCCGCGAGTGGGCGTGGTTTCAGCGCAGCCAGCGGACACGCCCCCAGCGTTTGAGAGCAGAGACTACTGCTCATTTTTTCAAGATTTTGATAGCTTATTTTATGTACTTGCTGGCTTTTTTTAATCATTCAAATTTGGCAGGGTGGCTAATAACACATTTTTCTGTGGTGTGACAAACTCAGAACACATACAAAATTTTGACTTTACAGGGACTTTAATGTTTATCAGCGAAAGAAGAGTCTAGCACACTTTGGAGTGGTGGGGCAGTGATGGGAATCCTGTTGAATGTGCCCTAGTTATTGGCGATTCTATTACACAGAACGTGAAAATAGAGACACCACCCACCATAGTCACATGTTTGCCGGGAGCCAGAGCGTCTGCATAAAAGCAAATTTAAAAGTGCTGGCTAATGCTAATCGTAGATTCTCTAAGATTATTATTCACTTCGGCACTAATGACGTTCGACTTCGCCTGTCGGAGATAACTAAAATTAATGTTAAAGAGGTGTGTGAACTCACAAGTACGATGTCAGGCACTGTAATTTGCTCTGGCCCCTTTCGTGTTCGAAGGAGTGATGAGATAGTTAGTAGACTGTCCTCACTCAGTGGGTGGTTGTCTACGTGGTGCCCGCAAAATAACATAGAATTCATAGACAATTGGAAAAGTTTTTTGGGCAGACCTGACCTGTTGAAAAGAGATGGTATTCATCCCTCCTAAGATGGTGCTGCTCTTCTCTCTAGTAATATGGCACATAGTCTTAGAGCTCAAACATGACAATCAGGGGCTCAGGTCAGGAAGCAGACAGACTGGCTAAACCGACCGTCTGCTAACTGTCTCACGTCACTGAGGTCAGAAATCCCGTCACATAGAGACTCTTTCACCTAGATATCATCATATAGAGACTCTGTCTGTTCCCCGAATTAGGAAATACAAAAAAACTTCCAAACCCATCTAAGGTTAAAAATGTAATTGATGTTCAACAAATAAAAAAATGACTTAATACAAATGAATAAATGATAAAGCTTGGGTTGCTGAATATTCGGTCCCTTATTTCAAAAACACTTGTTAATGATATTACAGACTATAACCTAGATGTGCTGTTTGACAGAAGCCTGGCTTACAAGATTGATAATATCAGGGAGAAAATTATTACTATGCAACCGTCTACTAGCATCGCATCAGGGTGTGCATTGTATCCCCAAAGAAAAATTCTATTCATTCATTGCTATAGAAAAGGAAGAATTTCCTAAACTCGTTAAATCATCTAATCGACAACATGTTAGACCCTATACCAACTAAGCTATTGAAAGAGATGCTTCCAGAGGTCATAGATCCTCTTCTCAATATTATTAATTTATCTTTGTCATTAGGAAACGTACCAAAAACTTTTGAGCTGGCTAGGATTAAACCACTTGTTAAATCGCAACTTGATCCTACAGAATTAGTCAATTACAGGCCGATCTGGAATCTACCTTTTGTCAAAGATACTAGCATGTGCACACCATCAGCGTTCTCGTGGGTTCGTGTTTTTAAAGTTTGTGTAGAGAGAACTAAGAGTTTTCTGTTAAAACGATGTCGTGCTAGCGGCCGCTAAGTTAATAACTAGTGATCGTTGCGACGGTAGCGAATCAATTAAAAACTAACTTTATTCTAGAGCTGTCATAAAGCAAAAACAATCTCTGTTACTCTGATTTCCTATTATCACTGTAAAGCAGCTTTGGAACAATCTACATTGTTAAAAGCGCTATATAAATGATGACTTGACTGAGGCTTCTTGAAGGGACAGGGTTACTTAGGCACTTTAAATCAGAAAGGATTGTATAGTGTATTTAACAAATGTTAAGAAGATGCTTTAGATTGTGTAGAGTGCTTTTTGTAATACAAATTCCTACAAAAGAAAAGCTTTACAGAAACGAAAATAATTCTTGTGTTTTATGGAGTCTTTAATTTGAGGGGTTCCTAAGTTGACTAAAAAATTATTTTGCAAGGCAAAAATGGTTATAGAATGTCATCACTGTGGAAACCCAATTTGGAAATCTTTATTTTTACAGTTTATCAAAAATATATGCACAAATAGAAAATGAAGCTTTTAGAAACCGATTGTTTTTTCATAAATTTCAGTGCAAAACTATTTGTAAAGCATCTGATTCTACTTTTAAAATCTTTATTTGTGTTCCATTGTCATTTGTTGACATGATCATGATAGACATAAGGTGGATTTGTGGCAGGATGGTCAAACTTTTTTACAGCAATAGGTCACTTCCAGATACTTAGAAAAACCCACACATGAATCAGAGAAGACAGAATTTGAAGCACTTAGTTGACAAGACTTCTTCCCATCACACCTTAAGAAAGAAAAATTGGCATTAAAAAAGGCTGTCTATTAGCTCTTGAATCATTCTACAGTATAAAACAATTTAAACTAAAGTCAATTTATATGATATGTCCATATATTAAGTAGCTATTAATACACAATGATTCTCAATGTACATTGTCCCTTTGATATACAGTAGTCAATAGTTATAGTGGATCAAAAAAGAAGTTCAAAGTTGTCCTGAGACAAGAACAGGTATTGTTCAAAATTCATGTATAACTTTGAAAGGTTTTGATCCGCTTCAAATGTTGACTACTGTATTTTGTACTAGTTAAAAAAAAAAAAACACCTGAAGACAGTGTGTGACCTAAAGTGACTCTAGATGAAGTGTATCTGGTGCTGTACCTGGAACGCAGGCTGCTGGTCTGAGGAGAGTAACAGTCTGATGTTGTCAGTTTATTACGAGGGCAGGTTACAAGATCTCGCCTTCCATAATTGGCATGATGAACATGAATAACACCTTTATCTTTTAATACGAAGACGAGATTTTATGAGTGATTGTTTACAAACATGAGTAAGTCAATTAATCGCTTTAGAAAGGAAAAAAAAGCCATGTACTGCAGCAGGACTGATCCATTCAAAGTATTGTGGACATGAGGCTATACACTCTGATCTCAGTATAGTAAAGAACAAATAGAAAGAAAAGAGCTTACCACACTTAATGATGCTTTCACCATTTTCACAGGTTACACTTCTTTCTACAGTTTTTTTAGTGGGGGGGAAGAGAGAGGTCTAAAATATACAGTAACTACCAGTACAAGATATGCAAATATTTTCACTCCTTTAAGATAAAAAAAAAAAACTTCAAAGTGAACGATGGAAATTACTTACTTGCTGGGATACATTCATAAGATACATCCAGGTATTTATAAGTCCCAACACAAGGATCAGAGAAAACAGAGTTCACTGCAGGAACAGTACAGCTCTTTCTTCCGTCACAACTGATTCATGGACAGACAAACAACAAGTACTTATTAGCGCTAATATACTATAGACAATGCATCTTGTGCTAATGCATCAACTGAAATTGTAAACTTATTTTTCTATGTTGGTTAAAACCTACCGAGCGGACATTATAGAGAGGGACGCTTCTGCTCTGCATTGTTTATTTGAGATCCGATTAGCTGGTTTCCCACTAGCACATGTTTTGCAATCAGTTCGCCCATAGTTGGCTTTGTTGACCGTTATGAAACCCAAATCTGATGTTTAAAGAAAAAGAGAATTGTGGTATTAAGCACATTCCATGTGGTTGGAGACAAAGGCTCAAGATACACTCGATCCTGTTCCCCACACTCATACGGTCCTATTTGGGAACAAAAACCAAACATATTTAAATGACTAATTACTCACCACAGTTGAGACGCGCAGACTCTCCTTCACAGACCACCATTTTTTTTGCTTCTGCACCAGAGAGGAAACTAGTCAAATTACTAAAACTTTCTGTGTCATGTTTTAGTCAGTTGCATTACCATGATACAGAAACAGCAGCACTGAAAGTCCAAAAAATAGAAACTGACCACAATTGCGACACGCTGATTCTCCTTCACGGACTCTCTTTTTTTTCGCTTCTGTACCTGCAGAGAGGAAATTAGTAAGATTACTTAAACATTCTGCACTTGAACATCCATTTAATGAGACTGCACACATTTTAGTCGATATTGCCTTACCATGTTGATACAGAAACAGCAGCACTGAAAGTCCAATAAAAACAAGTTGAAATACTTGAAATCATGCAAATTAAATTGACACTAAATCAGTACTTACAAGTGATCCAGCTTAGCTTTTGCACCAGCATGTTGAATGTGTGAACAGAAGGAAAGGCCTGGAATTATTTTAAGGGGACATGTGAACACCGTATTTATGACAAAAACAGACACAAAAGCAAAAATTGGAGTTCAGATGTTCTGAAGTTTTGAAGAATAAGAATCCAAATTTTAGCAATTCCATTACAGCACCATTATATCGTTACATTTATCCAATTGATAGGAGCACAGTAGAATCCAAGTACAACTTACTTTAAAAAAAAAAGTTTACTATGATTAAAGAAACATGAACATGAGACTCACCAAACAGCAGTTGTAGAGTTCAAAGCTTGATAAAAGACTACTGGAACATGATGTCTATGTATACACAAGGACTAATGACATAACAAAACACACCTGAAAGTAATCAACACACTGAACCAATGGGAGGACACAACTGAAAACCACATGACAAGACCATTAACCAATGAGAACATGACATGACAAAGGAGCCAAATGCACAGGGTGCGTCTCAGGCCCTGTCTACATGAACACGGGTATTTTCAAAACCGCAGATTTGTATATGCGGTTTGGCTGTTCGTCCACATGCAAATGCAGTATCCGGTCACTGAAACCGAACTTTTTTGAAAATTCCTGCAAGGGTGTAGATTTTTTGAAACTCTGGTTGCAGTGTTGTCGTGTAGACGGTGAAACCGGAGATTTTGGCTTGTGACGTAGGAGTGCGCCCTGTTATGTCCTTTGTTTGACGTCAGATTGTGCTCCTCTATCTCCTTTGTTTACATGAGACGAGTCTGTGCAATGGTGGACGTAGCCAAATATTGCTGCTAATAATTATGCTAACAGGGCTCATAGAACATGTAGGCCTAAACAGATACGTGTACAGTACTCCCATTATATTGCGGAACAGAGGCGTCAGAATGTAATACTGCGCAGGTCACTGCTTATGACAACATGTTGTTAGCCTACCAGAACCGGTAATAACCTTTTTTTCAGGCTCCAGAGTTTGAATCAGTGGCTGCATCCGAAATCGCATACTTCCCTATAGAAGACGAAAAACATAATGTGACAAAATAAGTATTGTCTGTATATGTCTGAATTCACAGTACTCAAAAAAGAATAGGCAAAAAAGTACCCAGATGACCTATTACCTCTGGCGAGATTCTGAAGTGTGCATACGATGGGCACTTTACTATCCCATGATGCCATGGGAGAGGATTTGTGAAAGGAAGTGAAGCAACACTTACTGACGCTGGTAGGCCACATAATAATGACAGTATGGCGAATATAGTAAACCCAAATTACATTCATATTACATAGAACATACTTTTTTGGAGGTCGTGAATTAATTACTTATTCAAAATAGGCTAAGTACCTACTCAAGAGATTATCTGATTTGGGGTGTGGCCAGAATATTGTGTACACGAATCCCGGCACTGGCGAGGACCCTGGTTCACTACACATTGGGACAGTCATTACTCAATTTCCAGCGTGGGAGGAGGGCGCACTAACAAGGACACTAGTGCATCTTGAAACCAGGGGCCAGTTGTTCAGAAGTAATCTGATCGGATTTCGGCTATCGGATTGGATCAAATCTTCAAAATTCGTTGTTCAAAATTAAAAAAGGATTCTGAAATCAGATTAGATCACAAAATCCAATCTTGGTTTTGATCTGGATCAAATCATCAGTTTAAATCAAATCAGTTATTTGCAAAAGGAGTTTTTGGAATCCTACTGGCACACTAAAGAAAATGATAGGCCTACAAAAAACCATCTAAAGATATTTTTTTGTGAAACATCTATGACTTTTGCATATTATATACTATAATAGAAGTAGATAAAACACTCATAGAAGATTATAGCTACTTTCTTCTGAGTTATAATCAGATGAGTTTATTGATCATATCAGATGCTGCAGGCAACAGCAAATGCAAATTTCTGAATTCTGGATAAGAAAGTGCATTCTGCTTTGATTTTCATCATCAAGCTAAAGCAGTAAATCTCTAAATTGGTATATTGTCACGGGTCTATGAAGGAGGACTCAAATGCAGAACGAGTGTTAACAGGTTTATTGACAAACAGTAGACAAGATGTGGTGGGAGAGGTGAACAGTCCAGACAAAAGGCAGGGATGAGACACAAAGACAGCCGTTGCAGCAAAACTTGCAGAGCAGCAGCTGTAGCTAGCACAAGAAGACTGTAGGCTGGAGAGTAGTGTTTGCAGAGCAGAAAGAGACCTGAGAGTAGTGATGGCAGTGTGACGCTGAAGCTTCGATACATGCTTCGAAACCCTGAACTACAAACCTAGAGAACCACTGCTTCAAAGCTTGCTTTGGTGCGAAAAAAATCATGTGACATATGACGTCCGAAGCAGCAAGTGCTTCATTGCCTGAATGAATCATCTGACTGGTTTGCGGTCCAATCAGGTGATTCACTGGAACGGCGCATCTCGATTCTGACAGGTGATAGGTTGAAACAGTTTTGAGCGCCTTTTAGTCTTTATAACCACTCTAAACAATGTACAATTGTACAATGTACAAAACCATCAAAATGTGTACCCTCATCTGTTTAATCTTGCAAAAAAAAAATTGTTCGCCAGCATCATCTGTTCCTTGTGAGCGAGTGTTTTCTAAGTCTGGAGAGGTTGTGAGCAAAAAAAGAAACCGACTCAGTCCAAAAACTGTTGAAAAAATAATGTACCTCAATAAAAATCTTTGAGTGTTCCCCATCCCAAAAATCCCCCCCTGCCATAGTTACACAAGCACACCCAACCTATGCCATATTTTCCCAGCACTCTCTCCTAAATAACACAAAACATACATTTATCAATTTTTATTTGTAAATAGAACATTATGCTCAGCATTAGCGTGTGCATCAAAGAGTTTTCAAAGGAAATATAGTTAAAAATCCAAGGGTGATCTTAGCAAAGATGCTTCAGAACTAAAGTAGTTTCTCCAATACTGCTCACTGATTAATTTGACTGCAGCCTTGCTTTTCGCCAGGAGAGGTCGCTGCAACTGAAGCTTCGAGTAATGAACCCATTTTCGAACCAATTGGCTCAAGTGGTTCAGTGCTTCACAAAAGCTTCATTTGGCCATCACTACCTGAGAGTACTAGCAATAGCCAGACAGGAACCTCCAAGGACAACAGCAAGGCACTCAGGGATCTCAGGCTAAGCACCAGGCTTGCACCAAAGCACAGAGTGCAAGCAGCCAGGGACGCTCTGCTAGCAGGACTGGAACTAGAGACTCAGGAGACAAGACAGACAGGACCAATGGCAGAACTAAAGCACTAACAAACTTCTACAAATAAAACACAATAGACTTAGGTAACAAGAAACTAGCTAAGTAGCACAGATTTAAACAGTAGCACAACATTCAACGAACTGGCAACACATGAGGGAAAGAGCACACACATAAAGGGAGTTAACAAGAGTAACAGGTGAGAACACTTAGACAAGGAACAGGTGAACACTCACGTAAACGAGGACTGAAACAAGGGAGCAGAGAACATGAGGAACAGGTGACAACACTCAGACAAACGAGGACTCAACTAGACAAGAGGGCGTGGTACAGAGAAACAAGGAGGCAGGAACAGAGGAGCACATGGCCAACACAAACACAACCAAATGTTCAAGCACAACACAAACATAGAGACATGAAACAAAGACAACACAGACAAAGCTGCCAGAGCAAGACCCTGACAGTATATGATCAAAACATACATATAAAGAATCCTCAAGAATACTGTAAAAAACATAACACTTCAGGTTTATGGGTCATAATACAGTTCAAATGAACTACTGTAACGGGTAGGCCAGTAAGAGCTGTGCGTGTAAACCAATCACACCAGGGGTTCATCTCTCAAAAAGTTTAATCTGGATCAGAATGATCTGGATTTGGAAATTCTGTTTTGCTGTCCAGAATCAGGTCTATTTTACTTTTGGACTGGTTTTTCAAAGCAAAATTGGATTGAATCACCCTGATCCAGATCGAAGGTGTGTTCCATTCGACAGGGTCCCTCCCTACGCAGTGTTCACTGCTCCCCATACTCCCTGAACACGGTACATCTGTTGAAGTGGACTTCGCTGACAATAATCGCTTATTTGGAATGCCCTGCAACGTCATCAAAGAAAGGCAACGAAGGGGTCGTGCAGATTATGATATAACACAAATAAATATTGTAATTTACTTTACTTTCAAATGTAAAATCATATAATAGGCCTATATATATAGAAAACCGTATGTATCTAATAAATAATAATCAAAACATTGTATTAGTTTATTACATAGACTACTTTACTTGATTATAAACATATTTGAAGCTGTATTGTAAGTGTCATTGAATATGAAAATACATTTTGATTTGGTTATCTATATACAAATGTGCTCTTATTGTAGTAATTGTAGGTCTCAGCTTGTGCGCTTTCTTTCCCATGCGCAGCTGCATAGCAAACATTCCTGAGTAAGTAAAATAAGCGCCTCAGCTGCTTCTCAAAACTTTTCATTTATTTAGATATTCACACAATAGACTATGGAAATGTAACATTCATCACCCTAACCATTCAGAAATACTTTAATTTGTATAATAATAACAACAATATTTATGAATTCTCAAATGCCTACGTAAACTCAGAGCCGTTCGAATTTTTCATTTAAAATTTAAAATCTCTTCCAACTGCTCTATGGTTAGTTCAGACTGGTGACGCGGTGCCCAATGACAGTTGGGTGATTTTCGCTCTCCACTTCCTGTGAAGTGATGTATCGATGTTCCCTTATTCCCTATGCCATTTGCAGTGCCCTTTGAACGGAACATATTCGCTCTAAGGATTGGAATCTCACTTAAGATGACGAAATACCGTAGCCTGGCAAGTCAGACCTACATCAAGATGTTAGGTCTGGGAACTCACAATTGGCATACCTCAATCCGAGGGGCGGGATAAACGGTTGTCTTTCAATATCACTCGGCACGCAATAGGATAGCGCTACAACCAACCAGAGCAACGAACGGCTGTGGCTGAGTGAGTCCCATGTGTTTTTCCACCAGTGAACCAGTTAGTTGGTATATTAAACTTTTGCTGTATCCGGTCGTCAAAGCTCTGAACACATCTGTCTTTTTTAGGAATGACTTAAAGCTGCAGTAGGGAGTTTTGAGAAAACGTTGACTTAGCCTGAAATTTTGAACAAGCACAACTTACAGGTCCCACCCCCTTGCTCTCTGCTGCGCTACAGCCCTCCCTCCACAGCTCGTCCTCCACAGCGGAGCCTGTCGTGAACGCGCAGGCTAGTAAACAGGGCCACCCATAACAGCGGATAAAAAGTTATATGGCATATTCACTAATAGGGACTAAATGTCAATAATATGCTTTACATTGACTATGGCCTGCCCATATTTTGACTACAAACTTGGTCCTCAAATAAATCATTATGTATTTTCCAATAGCCTACATGTAACTTTATAACGTTGCACTCTTTCTATAAGTTATAAATAGCTAGTAAGATAACGTTAATATAACGGTAACTAACGTTATAGTATGTAAGTAATTATTCTAGCGATATATAATGCTAGATAATTTGTGCTAGTACATTATTTCAGCAACATGACAAGCCAGTGAATTAGCAGGTTTCAATTGTTGCTTAGCAGAGTGCGTGACATTTTATCTACATGTTATGCGGCTAGAGTTTTGACACCGAGTCAATGGGCTCTGTGTAATTCTTTCTTTTTCGCTTGTTTATCGTCATCGGTCTTTTTCCTTTTACCTCTTTGTTTTATGAGCAGGTGTCACTCGAGAATTGGCGGTTTAGGTTGTTTCTCCGTCATAAGCACAGCTGCAGCACGCCGGCAATCTTGAGTTTGAACGACGGCTCGCGCTGTGGAAGAGAGGGGTGTGATCAGCGCGTACACGAGCGTGATTGACACTGCTAAGACATTCCTCCTGGCTCTGATTGGTTGTTTCTGACTGGGAGCGTGTATTTCTTGCAAATGGCAATAGGACCACTGGGAGGAGCCAGAGGAGCTTGATTTTTACACAGATTATCTGTCTCATATTCTACTGTCAGGACATAATGACAGTTTTAGCAAATACATGTTTTCAAAAGTTACCTACAGGAGCTTTAAGTGACGTTCTCTTAACTCCAAGTCATCCAGAGTCGCGGGCAAAGCCGATTCGAAAGACCGCTGTTCGCCAGCAGCATCTTCTTTGTTTTCAAGCAGAGGGAAATCACCTATGGAAATCACGCGGAACCGTCATATGCCTCTGCCTTCATATGTTAAGCCCGCCCACCAACTCTACACGATCTGATTGGCCAGACCAGTTTTTGGTTTTTCCAGCTCAAAAGTCTATGGAGAGTTGCTAGACCACACTTTGCTGCAAAATAATTTTTGCTGCCGCTAGGGTGCATCTAGATTTCTAGGCTAGAAATACCGTCCACTTACGGTCGAATAGAACGCACTATACACTTTTTCAGATGACTAAATATGGGTTACTAGTGCTCTACGGAGCCCTTGAAGGGACATGGTGATGGAAAAAAAATTTGATAGGGGCGATTGGGGTCCTTTTGCATTCTCTCAGAAAAGGTTTGCGTAGCGTTCACCCGAGAAACTTTGCGTTCGCTCGCCTTTTGACTGGTTCATCTCTTATGATTTTGCCAATATAGTTTACAAACCCCACTAAAATTAAATATAATATTTAGGGCCCAAGCCCTGAAAGTTTTCCTTAGGATAATTTTTTTTTTTTTTATTCTAACGACTATTCGGGCACTTTTGGGGCCCTTAACATGCTCAAAAACTCTTGAAACTTTGCACACGGGTCAGAACCCACGGCCATCAGGGCCGGGCTGAAGCTGGTACCCGTGCGTGGCAGGGGGGCTCGACAGCGCCCCCTGGAACGGGGTCCGAAAACTTGGTCCATAAATCAAACACGTTTGCATGTAATAATATGAAACTCAGTACACATATAGATCTCATTGGTTCATATATCCTTCATACTCTTACTTTTTACCCCAGCCCAACAGAAAGTCGGCTATTTAGGGTTGTTTGGAAAACGCATGCAATGGAATTTGAAATACTTCTCCTAGAGAATTCAAACACACGGCACGAAACTCGGTCAACATGAACTCAAGACATTGAGGATGAAAAATTGCCAGGGGATTTTTGATATCTCGAACGGTTTGGCCATGGCAAGGAAATGAAATTATGGCGCGAAAAGAGAAACAGGAAGTGTGTTATAACTTCTTTATACATTAACTGATCTTGGTGAAACTTCAGTAGTGTGTTCGTTGTAAGAGGCCGGTCACATGGATGTGACTATTGTGAGTCAAAGTTATAGCGCCACCAACTGGCAGCAAAAAGTGTGTCACTTTCAAAATGCTTTGAAATAACCCTCTTATTTTTACATGATTTGCTTCAAACTTTATGTGTATAATGTTAACACACGGCAGATGTAGACCTGTGAAAATATTATTGATATCTTAGATACTGTTGCCGTGGCAACGCATCAAACTTTAATATTCTTGTTTGATGCTTTTGAGACTCTTAGCATGCTTGAAATTGCATAAAACTCGACAGACACATTACATTTATTAGCCAGTAGACATGTGCAAAGTTTCAGAAACGGGCGTGGTGAGGGCTCAGTAGCGCCACCTTTTGTCAAAAGTGGGGGGATTAGTTTTATCTACAGTTACAAAAATCGGTATGTATATTGTTCTCCTCGAGCCGGACAACTTTCTAATTTACAGTCATTAGCTCAGACCAACAGGAAGTCAGATATTTTGGTTTGAATATGGTGAGCCTCTCTCTGAGCCTACGTCTTTGTATGGCAAGCTCTTTTAACATTTAAAAGCTAAGTTTGACTATCCGGAATTAACATTGTAGATATCAACAACGTCTTTCTGACAAGTCGTAATTATATTTTGGATAGTTTGTATTATCATTTAAGACATCTGTAATGTAATTGACCTATGGCTAACCCACGCCCCCAAACGCAATGAGCCAATCACAGTGCGCATAGCTAACCCAATAAAATGAAAGTTACAGATATCAAATTTTAGATATCTCTAATCAAAATGAATTTCAAGATATCTTTAACTTGATAATAGATATCTACAATTAAATGGTTGTAAGACCGTAAAACTTGTTGAAGAGAAAATATCTGACCACATGGTCTATTGAGACAAAGGACCTTGGCAAATTAACATTTGGCTTCCCCCCTCTTCCCCGGAGACAAAGGTCTCACCTCTGAATCATCCTAATCTACATTTCTTCCCCTCATCCCCCACTCCTTCCCCTTCATACAGATCACCTAAAACACACATAAGAATATATGTATGGTTTGATGTGAATGATTATCATTGAGTATTATGTTTGGTATCATTTGAAATGTCTCAGGAATGAGTGGTACAAATGTCTCATTCCAAATAAGTAAAACAAAAGGTAATAAGGTTTTTTAGAAGTTTAGAGAAACACACAAA